TATTGCGATTTGCTGAAATTGAAACAATGCCTAATTGTTCATTTTCTTGCGGTAAGAAAGTTGTATCCATCAGTATGAATTGTATAATAGGTTGCTTCTAATAATCTCTCTCAAGAACTAGGTAGGTACTAAATCGATCCCTAAATTGGTTAAATCAAGGAGCTACAAAAAATTATAAGAAAGATGAATTTATTGATAGCGCTAGGTTGTACCCAAGGCTGCATTTCTTATTGCGCAACAGGTAATTTGCAAAATTTTGTGAGATATAAATACGTAGTATTTTAATAACATAAAAATAAACTATGTAGTACCATAGTAAACAGAATAAATTATCTATATTTTTTCAGAAATGTAATGATTGGGAAGAAACCGACGTTTGCGGCGAACTCAAGATTTTCATTGATCAGTGTGCTGCTTAAATTTTTTTATACTTATCTATTGTTTGTAATCTTTTGGTCAAAATGCAAATAAAGCAACTTGTTCTTTGAATGCTTTTTTTTCTTTCGTACCCATCATTCTTCCTTTCCGATATTCCCTGATCTGTTTCCGGAACATTAAAACATGGGCCTATTCAAGGCAAGGATGAAAAGACAACATAAAATTAAATACAAAAGAGAACTACCCAAATTAAAACAAAAAATTGCGTCATTTTGAAGTCGTCAATACCGGTACAATCCCTAAGACAAAGAAAATTTTAAATTCAAAATTAATTTACTTCTATCTTTTCTACCATTTCCTGAAATGTTCATCAGAACCGCAAGAATTCGATTGTTAATACTGCTGATTTCTAGGGTAATTCCTATAGAACATGTAAATTAATTGTAATTTATTAGAAAAATATATATTTTACTAAACCACTTGCACTATAATGCTGTACTTACATCATGTCATTGTTGTATAATAAAACAAAGCTATACTGCGAAAAAATATAAAAAGCAAGCTTTATATTTGAATTAAAATAATCGTAGTGAACCATTTCTAAGCTTCTAGTTACCAAAACAAATAAAAATAAACCCCCCATATTTTTTAAGTAAATAAGCGATTTACCTTAAAAAACTATCGCGGTCAATGTTAAAAAACTATCGCGATAAGACGTGTTAAAGTAACTATTATGTGTGAAAATAATCTCGAGTGCTTCAAAAATAAGACACTGTCGGTATGATTACAAAAAGTTAGATGTGCGTTAAGACATTGTATAAATTAATTTTCCATACGATTGTAGCAACTTAAACCATATCTAACGTTTTTTAATAATAATACGTTATGCATTGTATGACATTTTATTAAATAAAGTTTAGATCATTAAAAGTTTATAATACCTAATATATTAACCACAGGAAATTATAACAAAGAAATAAATTATGTTGTTAAGTTTTGTTGTTATCTTTCTACGTTTTTAGAAGTAGCTTTTTAGGGTTTCGTAGTCTACTAGAAACCCTTATAGTTTCGTCATGTCTGTCTGTCTGTCTGTCTGTCTGTCTGTCTGTCTGTCTGTCTGTCTGTCTGTATGCCGCGCCCTCATATCTTCGTCAGTTTTAGAGCTATCGACATGAAATTTGGTGAGAAGATAGATCGTGTTGACCCAAATATAGAAATGTTAAGAAAAAAATATTTTAAATGTTTTTTGGACCCCCTCCCATACAAGTGAAAGAGGGGCAAAAAAAAAAATTTTCTTCTGTAATATTGAGTAGGGTATCGTTGAATAGGTCTTTTAAAACTAAGGGGAGGTTTCTTTGAAGCAAAGTCACTTAAATGTTTCTGTCACGAGATATTTGCTTTTAAAAAGGGCGTTTTTGACCCATAATTTGTTCCAGCTGTAACTTCTAAAGTATAAACGCTAAGAATTTGAAATAAATATAGAATATAGCTTATAATCTGAAGTTACAATGAAAACTATAACGGATATTGTACCCTTAAAGTTTTCAGAAAAAATTGAGATTTTCTATTTGCGGTTGGTCATCATACTGCTGCTAACAAACCAGCAACAAATTAAGTTTGTAATGCTGAAAAACCTGATATTTAAACGTTGACTACGAAACCCTATTTGTGGGCGTGTCTGACACGCTCTTGGCCGGTTTTTTAACTTACTGCCTTGATGCTAAGAAAACGTAGAAAGAAAATGTTGACTTGACAATCTGAAAATAAATAAATAAACTTTTCAGAATATTTTTATCAACAGATAAAATATTTTTTTATTTCAAAAGAATGATTTTCATAGGAACCGTATACTGTATTTAATCTTGTTTAACTAAAACTTGTAATCGTTTTAATAATTTAAGATTTAATTCAATTCAGTTTCAATTGCAAATAAAAATAGTTGATTTCTTACAGACACCATAGGTACAACTCCAGCTAGGAAACCTCCCATAGCTTTAAACTGTAGCACAGTTTGTGATCTCATTAATAAAAGTATCAATGTTTTTTTATTTGATAAAGACATGTCCACCCAGTTAATGCTATACACACGAATTGACACATCGTCACTCTGCAAGAAAAGAAAATACATATTGATAAAAAAATCTAATTACCTCCCTTAATAGAAAATAAAATGTGATGAGTGAGTAATTAGCATGCAAGAATGAAAAGACAAGAAATTATGAATTAGTACGATTTTTCTATTTGTCTTTAATTTTCAAGAACGTGGAAGTTTCAAAAAAGCTGTTTCGTAGTGATGTCCAATCACAAACTTTTCAGTTTTTTCTTACATTAGTTACAAACCTGCCTTGTTATCTCCTCTAAAATAAATGACATTATTATTAAACCGCCCATGTATACAATTATCATTCCTCCAAAAATATAACGGGTACGGCCCTCCTAAAAATGAAACAAAAACAGCACTTTATATAAATAATCAGTGTCACTGAGATATTATTATTATTTATTTATTACCAGTAGTAAAAAATAGTTGTACTGACCACTGTCATAAATAAATATAGGTTAAAACTGTCGGATGATAAGTTGTATAAATAATATCCTAAGACAACTAAGCCAAACACATCCTCGATTTCTGTAAAAGTTCTGAAATAAAGTAAATTATTTTATTAATATTAAAAGAAACATGCAATCTTGTCATAATTAAAGAAAGTTATTAAACGAACAAAGATAACTCATGTTTAGTTTTTAGCACAACTAAACTTGTTATTTTAAGAACGTCGAGACTTAAAATAACAAGGTTAGTCGTGCTAAAAGTTAAATTAAAGAGAATTTTATAGTTCGGTATTTATATAAGGTCCTATTAAATTCACTACAAATATTTTAAGGTCATGCGTAAATATGTTAAGAACATTTTAAAAAAAGTCGACACGCTAGATTTTTTTTTTTTTCATTTTCAAACAAACTTTTTAATGAATTACGTAAACATCCTTTGACTCACCTTCCGCCACGTAGACAGGATTCACTTACACGGCGCGCACACTAACAACTAACTAATCACAGCACATTTTTTTTGGCGCGTAAATTAAATTCGTCGAATTACCGTTAATGGTGTGCTTCTAGGGCAAACAGGGTGCACTTTTTTCGTTTTGTGTTTTTTAGTTAAATGCAATTTTCTCTAAAATTAGCAAGTAGATTTTATTTTTAAATTTGCCTAGAACATGCTTTTATTTTATTTAATCTGCCCCTACAATACTTGCAGTGAATTTAATAGGACCTTATATAAATTTATTCTTAATATATATTTTAACCCTTTAATACACAATAACTGACACAGGACAAAAAGCAAAGAGAAAAAGAACGCAAAACACAAATTACAAGTATAATGTAGAAATTACATCAAGCTCAAAATATCTGAAAAGATAACAAAAGTTTGTAACCGGTATTTTAAAATTTCAATATGGCCTATTATTTGAAATATGAAACTGAACTTGATAACCATATGTACTATTATTATGATACAACCAGCTGCAATATAATAAGCATTCGTAATGTGAACAAAAAGCCACGAACGAAAATTTACTCTGTATTCTAAAGGATGAGGGTAATACATAGTCGTTTCATAATACAGTGTCCCATTTTTTATTAGTTCTTGGTTTATGTAATTGTTGAAAGCTAAAAGAAGAAAATAATATATTTTATAAAAATAAAGTCGGCCATAATGACAAAATTTATTAATATTTAATCACACATTTTCTAGGTAGACCTACAGTGCAGCAAAAAAAAGTAGACAAAAAATGAGGGCGCCACTTTGTATAAAATTTCAAAATTAAATGGCAACATTGGCTAAAAATGGCAACAATTTAGTATGATTTTTTTTGTTCCATTTTATTTAATTTCTACTCTTTTTTGCTGGACTGTACAGCTGTTGTTGTTTTAAGGTTTTCATTTGATGGGTAAGACGCAGTCGATTTGTAATACAATAAAGTTATATTTTTTTTTAATGCAAAATTAATGTATTCTTTTTAACACCTTTCTAAGACAAATTAGGGAAGAGGCGCGTGGGGCGCCTGCCTACTTCTATATTGCTTTTTTATTGTTGACGACTTGGCGTAACAATGTTGTAAAACAAAATATTGCAACTTTACGAAAAACATGCTTCTGAGGATTTATTTAAAAAACAATATTATAACCACACAATATGCTATAATCAAAAAAGACATAAAACAACCTCATTAATTTGATGTAAAACTTCAAAGCCAGATACAAGAATCTTAAAATTACCTCACCCAGGCAAAGTTATAAACAATATCTTAATACAATATTAGATTTTGACTGTATTTGGATAATTTACTAGGTACAAAAGACAGATTTCTTACCTGTAAACAAACACCAGGCAAGCCAATCAAACAAAAGAAAACCACCCATGAAATAGAATGAAAAACGTGTTAACTTTTCAAATTTTATTCGTTCCTAAAATTAGAAATATAAATTTTATTAATATTTGTGAGTGTTTACTATGTTGTATAAATTTTTCCACAAGATAGTAATTTCGAATAATCGGTGTTTGAATCAATAAGTTTTTTGTTTACTAAGTTAATACTAACGAAGCAAGTAAAAAAAATTCACGCCTCCGATGGGATTCGAACCCACGTCTTCAGCTGACAGGTCGGGTCAGACGTGTTGACCGCTACACCACGGAGGCTAGTCACTCACTTACCAAGTAGGCACATCATCTTTGAATAAACCTTCCTCTTCAATCACACTATCTTTTACATGAATTCGCATTAAAATCGGTTGCGAGGTTTAGGAGGAGTTAGCGAATTCCACCACTACTGACAGAGGCAGAAAAATCTTCATTTTATACTATGTACTAAAGTACTTACTGTAACGACAAACTCATCCTGATGTTCGATATTGCAAATATGAATTTTATCCATGAATTTGTTCATAAGTTTTGCATATTTATTCGTATAAGATGAAAGCTGACATACCTGAAAATTAGGTAAGGTTAGTAATTATATTATAAAGCAAAAAAACAGGAAATCGTGCGCTGGTGCCTTTGATGACTGATTTTGGTGAATATATTTTATGATGAGTTCTCATTCTCTTTGCATTTACATTTCTGCTTCTATTTATTTTTCTTTTACTTACTGTTGCAAAGCCAGTTATTTGTCCAAGAGATAAAATTGTATGTATCGTATTATTCGGTAAATTATTCAAATGAATGTAAAGATACAGTAATTGACCTATGAACAGTGAAGGCCCACCAATTCCATTAAATATTTTAAAAAAGACCGAAATCTTTCCAAAACGGGGACTTTCTTCAAATCCCCACCATTTTTTTCGGCCATTACCCACGATGCTCATCAAAAATGCAAGAAATTGATAGTATTTTTGTCTTCTGGGATGTTTTCTGTAGAAAAATAAAACAAAGTAGGTACAATATATTAGCATCAGTCAATATAAAATGTAAAATTAATATCACAAAAGAAGAATTGCGTTGATACTTACAAATAATGTGTGTCAGGCATAACGTTATTATTAGATATTCCTATACAGTATCAAGCGTGCTGTGTGGTTATGTGGCTTTCTATTTGAATAAAACGCATATACGGTGTCCGTCCCGTTGCGGATAAAAAGATATTGGACAGGCAATTTATTTAAATACTGGTGTTAGCTAGGTAAAATAAATAAGCAGTACTGAATTTCATGATTTTTCATTAAATAAATTCTAGACTATTGAAAACTATGAAGCAATTTATCCTACCTATTGCTTAATTAAAGACTTTAAAGAACTTAGCTTTAGGTATTATTATACTGTCTTGAGGTTTTCCTCACGCCTACTCTATTATTTTTGTCTGCAATTTTTTCATTTTTTCTTTTGAACCTATATATTCACACGTAGGTATACCTAACTAACTTTATCTCTCTGTACATTTACTATTCAATTGAACAAGATAGTAATACATATGTGAGAAGTCGTGAATGGTTACAGTGTTGATTCAGAAGAAGACTGAACTAATTAAACCTAATAAGTATTACGTACCTAACTCCTAACTATACGTCGGTCGAAATATGAGATTTTTTTTGACCCTCCAATAAGAATTGACCCGGCCGGCCAACACACTTAGTATGAGAGGACTAAAAATATTTTTTCGTATTTCAACCTATGTTCCTTGGGGAAAGTTGTTCAGTTTCATGGACTGGTTCACGCCTTGCAGTTATTTTTTTACATCATGTATAAGGTTACATTGAATTAAGTACAAATCTCTTGAGGGTGTAATCTACTCACAAAACTGAACAACGTTTGTTTGAAACTTTTCTTCGAAATATAAAAAGGAAATTTGGACCTCCCATACTAAGTGCGCACTCTTTCAACATTTTTGTATGGAAGGTCCAATGTTTTTTTTCATATTTCGAAGAAAAGTTTTAAACAAAAGTTGTTCAGTTATGTGAGTTGATTACGCCCTCATGAGATTTGTACTTAATTAAATGTAACCGTATATGCTATAAACGTATTAACCTAGCAGCTTATGGCTGTTTGTACCTGTTTCAAAAGTACCCATTACGCTAGCTGCGTTGCCTCGTTGAATGGTTAGGGAGATCTAATTGGACCAGGTACGAGCCGGCACGAGGATCGCGGCCACAGGTTTTCTGTCGCTGACCTATCTCTTTCGCAACGGTTCTTGCCGCAGCACACCACCACCCATGGTCTCTACTATATATGACTGTCGTAGATCCGCGTGTTTCTCTGTTTTCTGTTTGGCTAGGATATCGGCCGCCAGCCCAGCCCAAAAAACTTCCTGCAAAATCGGCATCACATCACCAAATAGAAATCTGTTTGTGGGTATCTCCTATCGCCAAGTAAGGATGCTGTCCTCACAAATTAGACGTAATACGAACACTGGTATGGTTTCAAGCTCATTTAATAGTTGCAAGTGTAAAACGAGTAGCAAGACCATTCGATGCAGATTTTTGTACGCGATATTATTTTTTTTAATTGAGGTTTTTTTTTTTATCTATGATGGGCTTACTCTTGACCCCAATCTTACCCTAGAGCAGAGATGGGATCTACGGTGGAGCGAGCTTGCCCAGAAGATGCCTATTCACTCTAGACTTAAAGAGATTCAGATTATATGCACTCGGAAATACAGACGCAGGCAGGGAATTCCATTTTTTAGCCGTGCGCATAATGAAAGATGATTTGAAGCGCTTAGTGCGGAATGTGGGTATATCAACTAAGAACGGATGGTAGCCGGCCGTGCGTCTGGATGTCCGATGGAAGAAAGGAGACGGTGGTATGAGCTCATGCAGCTCACGCGCACACTCTCCGAAGTACAATCTGTAGAAGACCGATAGGCAAGCAACCTTGCGGCGGTGAGCCAGGCTGTGAAGCTTGGTCGCCACCAGTTTTTTATCGCCTATTAATCTCTTGGCTCTGCGTTCCACCGAATCCATTGCAGCAAGTTGGTATTTAGCCGAGCCATCCCAAAGGTGACAGCAGTACTCCATGCAAGATCGGACTTGAGCTTTATAAAGAGTTAGAAGCTGTTCAGGTGTGAAGTACCGCTTCACTTTATTCAGGACGCCCATTATTCTAGCTGCAATTTGAGCCTTGGACTCGATGGTGGTGCCGAAGTTGAGGTCAGAGGAAGCTCCATGCCAAGGAGTTGAAGAGTGTTGGTCACTGGAACAGATGTACCCCGAAAAGTAAGTTTTTGAAGCATTGAAGCTGACGAGATTGTCATCGCCCCACTGGGAGACGTTACTTAACGTCAGGCTCGTACGCTCAATCATAGCCTTTCTCAATCTTTGGATTTCATCACCACTGGCTCCTGCGCCGGACAGATATTTCTCGGTGACAGTACTGTCATCTGCGTACCCAAAAATTCCTGAAGATAGAAGGTCATTGATGTGCAGCAGGAAAAGCGTCGCGGAGAGTACAGACCCCTGAGGAACTCCGGCGTCAATAGCCTTGAGGTCAGAGGAGCAGCCGTCTATGACCACTCGGATCGACCGTTCACTCAGGAAGTCAGCCACCCAGCTACAGAAGCCAGTGGGTATGCCGTACGCTGGAAGCTTGCTCAACAGACTCGCATGCCACACCCTATCGAAGGCCTTTGAAATGTCCAGCGACACTGCTATTGCTTCGCCGTGGTTTTCAATGGCTTCGCCCCAGCAATGCGTTACGTACACTAGAAGATCTCCCGTGGAACGCCCTCGGCGGAAGCCATATTGACAATCACTGAGAAGATCATTGTCTTCGAGGTACGAAAGCAGTTTGCAGTTCAGAACCCTTTCCATAACCTTACAGAGTACGGAAGTGATGGCGATCGGTCGATAGTTGCTAGGGTCGGCACGGCTACCCTTCTTGGGCACAGGTTGCACATTGGCAAGCTTCCAAGATTTTGGTATAATTTTTGACACGAGAGAGAGGCGGTACAAGCGTGTCAGTACAGGAGACAACTCAGGCGCACAGGTCAGGTCCTGCTAAGGGTGGTCTAGTAGTTACTCCCACTATTTATGAACAAAACAATTAACTCCTAAGCTTACCTATTTTAATTAAATTTCACCCAAAGCTCAGGGTGTCGGGTGCGAATTATTGGAATTAACTTGAAACAATAAAGTTCAAATTGAAATTGACCAATATCATAACTGAGAACATTATTTGGAAAATAATAGTTTGAATTCAGATGGTTTAAACGCTTAAGTTTTATTGAATGTACTGTATAGTCACCTTATTTATCATTGTGAGTATCGATCGTGTAAAGATCAAAATCTTATATAAATCATCTTCAGGCGAAACGGGAATCACAATTTATGTTAAAAAGTATATTTTTGTGTTTTATTCCGGTCAAAATTCTGGTTCCTTGATTCTGCTGACATCTGTGACACAAACGTAAAGAGGAAATAAGGGTAAAATGGAGCAGTTTTTAGAACCCAGGATGCGTAAAAACAACTACAGCGCAGACAATCTCCTGTGTATGCCGAGTGATGCCGGCTTAGAACAGCATCACCCCAATTCTACCCGTGGGTGTCATAAAAAGCGACTAAGGGATACTCATCCAGGGAATGGGCAGCAGGGTTCCCTGTTAATGCACCATCATGCATTGCGCTCGCCAATCCGCCTGCCAAGCATGGTAAGTATGGCAATACCCCCCGATAGGGGGAGGCCCATGTCCAGCAGTGGACCGTTGTGGCTGTTATGTTATGTTATAGCCGGGTTCGTACGTAAGACAAGCAACAAAAGCGACTACAACAACATTAATGATAGATTAATGATTAATGACATTTTTATGATTTATATGACTTTATTAAATAATAGTAAAAAATAGGCCAGCTGCCACTGGCATTACAACGGCAAAAATATAACAGACCATGCCACAGGAACTGCAAAGGGTGATACGAATTCGTGTTTGGAAACTTCTTTCAACAATGTCTTTAAACTTCTGATCAGGGGTAGGTACCATTTTACCCCATCTACCCTGCAAGTATTACATACTCTTTGAAACTCTCATAGAGAATAAAACTTCTGCCATACTTCTGCATTTCCTCTTTTGCTATTGTCATCAAGTTGTCATTTGGCAAAAGGAAGTATACCCGCACACCCGCAACGTACTCGCCGTACGCGCTGAATAATGCGGATGGCCTCGCACACCTAGCCGCAAGCACAGCCGCATTGAATAGAGTTGGTGTTGCCAA